AGGAGCAGAAGATATATGGAAGTGAAAAGACAAAAGAAGCCTGGAACAAAAAGAAATGCAGAGAAAGTAGGAATCGGGTGAGGAGGGGGAGGTCAATAATACATGTGAGGGTACAGCAGAGCTTGTTCTTTTGCAGACATTGTAAAGACTGATATTCTGTTTATTTTTAGGTAGATAAAAATGCCAGAGAAACTAAATAAATTGAGCTGCAGAGCTTTCACCGATTGCACTGTTTACCCGGTTTCACCTCAGCATAAAATATGCTCTCCACATGAGCTTGGCACCGTAAAGTTATTTGACTCTTTTTAACAAAGATTTGCATAAAGATATTGAATGTGTGTGTGTTGAGGAAGACGTACGGTTTAAATCACTGCAGAAATGTAATAATACTTTAGACGTTGGCAATATAATATAATAATATAACATTATATTGCCAACGTCTAAAGTATTATTACATCAGCATGAGATGATAAATGTGGAGTGTGTCATATATTGCACTCTACTGTTTAAACAATGGTCGCTTTCCTTTTAATCAACCTGATTTTCTATTAGTCCATTGTTCGCAATGTTGCATACCATTGAGCACGGAAATTAATTTTTATATGATTTTTCCCATCAGTATGATTAAGTACTTTGATTTGTCCTAGTACAAAATTAGTAAGGCATTCCCATTTGCTATTGAATACTTGATAGTAGAGACAATTTATTTATATCACGTCCTCCCATTAACATAAAGGCCTATATATTCTTTTTTAAATTATTTTTAATCGTGTTAAAAAGTGTTTTTACATTTTTCTCGGATTTCCTTTAACAAATTCAATGAACAAAGATAACAATCGTCAGTATGCAATATTTTCACTTTTCCTCAAGTAAACACTTTAATAGCCCTTATTTTAAATCATTAAATCAAATCATTATCCTAAAAATAAATAGAGTTTTTTACCCTCTTGAGCCAGAGAACAAGCAGCCTGGAACAACTTAAAGAAAATGCTAATGCACTTTCTCTAAGGATTCAGAAAATGTGGGTACTCAAAGGCGACGTTTTTTGGATTGGCCACTAACTTTCATAAGAATGAATGGGTTTCGTCTCCAATGCCGTATCCAGTTCTCTTAATGCATCAATGGTACATGCTTCATGTCTGGACATGAATATTCCTCCCAGAAGGCTCTATCCAGTGCAATGGATGCTTTCCCGGGTGTCAGCACTGAATGGGAGGTGTGATTATGGATGTGTTGCTGTAGAGTTGTTAGACCCTAACCCTGTCATAGTAGAGAGACTCCTTTTAACATAAGTTGTAGATCAAGTAGCTTGTAGATCATTGAGCATATTTTGCTCTTTATATGACAGCTTTCTGCGTAAGATCCACAGTTTTTCCATTTGTCAAACTAATCCACTTGAGCTTGCATTGTAATCCGGCGAATTTGTCGTTGCTCTGGGAGTGGGCCGCCAAATCACGTCTGCGTGGCTGCAGCCTTCAGCCTGAGTGATGGGCTCCGAAGTGGTGAGACGGTAAGGGAGGTGGAGGGGAAGGGGGTTATTTAGGTGCTGCATCCTCAATCATTGATGTGATGTCAGCACAAATCTGTGTTGTCACCGCGCTTGGGCTGCTCACTGCGAGAAAGAGAAGAGACGGGTGGCTCCGTCTGCTGCTGTTAGAGTGATGTAACCACGTCTAAAAGAGAAGGAGAGGAAGGATGAGGAGGAAAGTAAGAGCTGGGAGAGAAGAGACAGCATCAGACCAAGGGCAAAACACATGAATAATAACAATGATAAAATCAGGACAATGTTATCCAATTGTATAGATATTCTGGGAACAACAAAAGAAGCCCAAGGCGATATGTCCATTCGAATGACATGTATAAGTCCTCCGCAAAAACATATTTCAAAGTTTTTTGCATTACTTAAAGTTCAAATTTAGTTTGTGTTAAAATGATAGGTTTTGCATTTGACAACCAAATAGAATAGAGAATATGGAGGCAGGTGAAAGGTGGATTGTACAAAGAAATCATTTCAATAATTTTGAATGACCATCACAAATCCATTTTGTACCTTTACAAAGTACTCCAGGAAAAAAAAGCTTTTCAAACTGAAAGAACGTCGGTTCAAGGGCACACTTTCACAAGCACATCTAAAACAGAAACCATTCTTTCACAGTCAGTGCTCATTTATAGTCAAAAACACACACTTATTAACATGTCTTTGTTTCCCAAGTGGTTTAGTATCCAAGCAGTAATTAATGTTGCAAAAGCAGTCTCTTTTTAAATCCCCCATTACAACAGATTTACTTTTTACTTGATCCTCAATCAACTTGATGCTGAGCAGCATTCCTGGAGAGTGCTTCATTCACATATACTATGCAGTGCACTCATTCTGTTAAGTGTTTTCCCTTGTCTTCTCCATATGGGGTCTTGTCTCTTTAATAAGCTACACATGCTTCAAGCCTTACTGATCGTATCGCATTGGACCTAATGGCCCACAAAAATGCCGTCGGGACTTTGTCTGGAGAGGTATGAAGAACTAATGGGTGAGGCAGAAAGACTTACATCTCCTTGCTGCAAATATAGCTCGTAGGTTGGGGTAAACTGTCTCCTGTGCAGTGATATTCAAATGAGGAACTTTCTGATGCCAAATGTATTATTGATGGACTGAGAGTGTGTTATAATGTTCCAGGGATTAATGGTGGCAATAAAATTAAAATCCCAATTCCTTCCCCAATTCAACCAAAGAGACACAATTCCCATACCGTAGATTTTTTAATGTCACCTGTTTAACTTCACATATGAATGACGTGCCAGTGATTGCACTTTTCAAATGTGTTCCGATGAAGGTTTTCTGAAATGTGCATGATTCCTGTCATCACCAGCAGATGTGTTTTTTTAGACAAAACCTGCATAGCTGTTTCCCCCATGCGCCCAGTCGTCATGCTAACCTTGTTAGAGTTTGGTGTGCAGGTAGCAGACGCAGATACAGATGCTGAGGCAGCGAGAACATTTAATGGTTTCATTGAAATGGCAGGCATGGATTTGAGAAGACAGGCAGGACAAAAAGACAAGGTAATGGCAAACGGATCTAAATGAACAAAAGGACTGGGCTAAGACATGTGATGGACTTATGTGGTGGTTAATCATCGAAAACTAATCACAACGGTGCAGAAAATAACAAAATGGCGGAAAAGCACAGAAATGCAGGAAGTAATGTGAGCCAGAATAACAAAAATAAACCAAGAAATCCTTGAATGAACTAATGAATGAAGAACAAAGGAGAATATGGATCAGGACATGATAAAACTATGCGAGCCATCTGCTGACTTGATCTATTTAGTGTATAGACATCAGACAATCTTCTCATCTAACACTAAGCGCCCTTTATCCCCCTAGTGATATCTAGGAAAACGTTAAATTAAAGGCTCAAATTGATGTAATTTGTGCCGAATGTCTTGATGTGTCTCTACTCGAAACGTGTCTCTTTCAGAATATCCCACTTTGAGACAAATCTACTCGCTCATGCACACCCAGAGGTCATAATTGACTCGTGCGATTTCAAAGCTCTGGCATGATGATAGTTTGTATAGATCTTCTCTTCCTAGAAGGCATTTTGGGATCCATTTTTCCATCTTCTTCCTTCTGTTATCGCCTCGTCTCTGAATGGTGTTTTTCTTTGTGTTTCTTCTCTGCCTCTTTTCAAATAAGAGATGTGGCTGTGTGCTTGGCTTTCCAGCTTGTTGGATCCACATTATAGTCTTTTGTTAAACAGGAAATACTTTTTGGGCTGAAAAGATGGAGTCTTCAATTCAGTCTGGAATGAGATTGAGGTGGAAATGCACTTAAATTGACAATAAAAAGATGTTGGTGAATTCTAGAGCTCAAACAATTCAGCACAGCCGTCAGGAAATGACGGTTATCCAAGGTGATTTTTTCAGATTGTTTAGTTTTTTACTTCAAGTCATATGTTACACTTACAGAGAAACAAAGAAAAGCCACACATCCTCATAGCTTATGAGCTTGAACCAGGTATTGTTTGATATTCCTGTGAAAAATGACACAAAAAATGCAGCCAATTAATTTCCTGTCCATAACCTATAGATTAACACTTCAATCTAGACTTCACTTGAATGTATGCAAATGAGATAGTGGGTATATATATTAGGATGTAGGACAGCGAATTAGAAGTGGTTTTCTACAGATGATATCTGGGTCCAGCATAAATGATAATAATATTAATCATAATTTGTACTATCAATAACGAATAAGAAATGTGTGGGAAATTCAAGGGTTCTCTGGTTAGCAGTCAGCACTCCTAGCCTAAATTCTTGGCAGATGCAGTTTCAGTTTTATTTGTCATCCCAATTCTAAGTAGCCTACCATCAGTGTTTGTCTTAAAGCCAACACTAACAGGCCTACTATCCATCAACCTTTCACGGTGACTTATAGGATGTCTATCTGCTAAAAAGCCTGCCCCATGGTTCCTCTGTGGGGTGTGGAAAACAACTTCTAGGTTGTCCTAACTGTTCAAACTGTGGAGAGATGAGCTTCCAACGGAGACTCTTTGAGCCAACGCAAATAGAACCGATGTGAATTTTAATCTCACATGCACTCAGTTTCTAAACTGGCAGATCTGCTGCTGCCGTCCTGCAAAAGTGGAGTCTCAGCTGGAGATGATTAATGACTATCAACTATTTTGGTCTTTCTGTCTTTCTTCTTCCTCTTTTGCTCACACAATATAATGTTACTCTTTTGTGACGCTTTACATATCAACGGGGTACACTTTCTCCCCGTCTCTCAAATACAAACACTCACATAATGGAGAAATGCAAAAAGCCGTTAACTGCGGTGCCTCTGCTGCAGTGTTTTGCATTTTTTAGATTAAGGATTGCTGATTCTGTTTTCTCCAGAGAACATAATCCCGATTTGAAACAGCCATCTGTTTGTTCATTCAGTCACTTTCACGGTAGACGACTTGTTTTCTGTTTGTAACTTGCTGTTCTTTTCTTTCTCTCTAGGGACTCGCCTGTGAGAGGACGATATGAAGGTAGCGGGCTCCCTTTGGATCCTTTGGTTTGTCCTTGTGGTAAGCTCTTATTTTTGCATTCAAGGAGTGCTGTAAGTCAAACATACTATTATTTTCCCGCCTATTATGTATGCTGCACACGTGTGTTTAAACATAGCATTCCATTTTCATTAAATGGACATGTAATATGTTGAGGTCTAGTGGTTTTCTTTCTCAGCAAAAAATCTCATGATTAATTTTCACTTACCATTAATAATTATTAATTATAGTTAAAGCTCTGCTTGTTCATTACAAACTTGAATGACCCCAAAGAAAGAATATGTGATTTTTGACTGCACGTGTCTGCATGTTCTTATATTTGCATGTTCTTATATCTGCTCTATGCAGATAAAACACAGCTGATATTTGCATTTTCCCTGTATTTAAAGATGGTTTGTATATTTACATAATATTGAAATGTTTGTAATGCACTTATATCTAATTTTGAATATGTAGTGGGTTTATAATTTTGGATTGTGTTGTATTGTACTTCTGGGACTTTCTTCAAGAAATGTATTGCAAGGCATCAGAAACGGCATCGGCATAACCTCCATGCAACCGAAGAGGAAGCATTCACAGGCTTCATAAATGCTCCATGTGCCTATTAAAAAGTGTACAGTGTGGCATAATTCCCCACACTATCAACATGGTCAAAACAGTGCACTTCAGTCATGCAAGCCACATGACAACATTCAATAAAACATGCCTCAACAAATACATCTTCCGATTAACCTAACCATGTAAAAAATGAAGGCTACAATGACTTTAGACCTCTGCCAACTGATGTCAACGGCGGCCCTAAAATATACTTTTAAAAAGGAGAAGCTAACGGTTGTACAATGCATGTAACACATTAAGATAAACTAAAATGTGCCTTCTTGTTACAGCCAATTTGTTTATTTTTTAATAGGTTAGGATATTCTACATTCCGATATACAGTATCTGATCTGGTGAAAACATCTTGAAATAGTTAGAGAATTTAAAAACGTAACACCGAAAGTTTGATCTGTACCCTTCAAAATAAAAGTCTCTGCCAAATCCACATTTATAGTTTTTTGCTATGCCCCTTTCATACAAATATAACCAAATCAAAGACAGTTGTTGACGTTCCTGCGATAATACGCTACAGTCCCACACATAGAACATTAAGCATTACCTGAATCCTGAATGTAATGTCAGGGTATTGAGGGTTGGAGTAGGAATTGATGTGTTGTGCCCACCAAATGTGCGGTCTTAATCTGAGTCGCTTGCCAACGAAATGTAATGAGCTTTAAGGGTTGATTCATATTAACACGGGGCATAGAGTGTTTGAGAAATTACATCAATGGGTTTAATAGGGGTGTTGCAATCATCAGTCAAATATGTTAACAGAAACGTAATATTTCACACTTTGGCACCATGTTATTTAATTCAAAAAAGATACTGATCTGCCTAATGAAGGGTTGCTGAAGGGTTGATAATTAAATAAATCACACTTCCAAATGTGTTTTTGATGGACTTGCGGTTCTCTTTACAAATCACAGCACACCTATTTGCTTAATGAGGTTTCTGTATTAAATGGAAGTTTCAACACCATGGCTGGAGTCTAGATGTTGGAAAGCTCAGAGATTATATTTGTCTTGTCTCTGACAGGCTGAAGCTTTTACTGCTGAGGTATTTATCATGAATTAATGTCCCTTATGGAAAAAACGGTTGTTCCACTATCCCTCGGTGTCGGTGTGAAGTTTGAATTTCCTTTGCTGTTCAGCATCAAACTTGACATTGAGGTCCAGAATAGTATCCCTGCCAATGGTGTATGCCTGATATACCTGTGCTGTTCTGCTTTATGTTTCTGTACTTTCTCTTATGATTGCTCTTGTCATATGTTGATTTAAGAAGAAACGTGAAATGTAACAGGTGAGAAGAGTCTTTAGAGTACATCTTTCTTTTCTCATCTGTTGATATTGGTGGTGGCCTGGTGGTCGTATGTATGACGTCATTTACTTCAGTGTTTGGAGTGACATCATATGTACGGCTGCTAAACTGCTACATGGGACATCGGCATTCTCACAAAAGTCACTGTATCTGTGTTTTGCCTTTTTACAAGCCTTTTTCAGACAGGTAAGAATTTTATTTTGGTTTTACGGGAATTCCATTTGCCTGCTAAAAGACACAAGGGGAACAAGGTTTGTATTTTAATGTGACAAAACTGTGGAAAAATGTGGAGACAATCCGACATGCAAAGTCTGAAAATACCTTCAATAATTCAGAAAATGCAAGTGCATGAGCCTGGTTCTCTGAGAGGCTTACATTTAAAAGATTTGCGAGATAAGTCAGACCAAAATGGGCTTTTTATCCTTCAGTGAGAAGCATTATCAAAATCAGCATTTCACACTCAAAGATTCTTCCTTTTTAATGCAACATGCAAATATTAACAATAGAGCAGAGATAAGTTTAATTTGAAGGAAATCAGATTCTTAACAGATCTTCCAAACACACTTTAATTGGTTACATGCATCGTGTAGATAAATCCTCATCAGAACAGCTTTGAAGAAGCTTCAAACACTTTACATGCTTATTCCTTCATTTAATGTTATCTTTAGAAAGGGTGCATGTCTAAGCTTGATAAGACTGGGAATCTTTAGAAATATAGCCAACATCATCAAAAATAATATTTATGCTTAAGCTTTTACAGTCAATGCATTTAGATCAAAGCAGCAATCACACAACAAACTCACTAACAAGTCCCTATCTACACAGCATACTGTTTTCCAAGTCAAACATGTTTCCCCCCCTTTCTTCTCACCCCTCGTGTTGTCTCCACAGCGCAGGGTGGCAGGAGTTGCTGAGTCAATCTCAGACCCATCACTCAGGCCTGGGCTGAGCTTGACAGATGGACAGGACCAGGCGGTGAGCCAGGGTCAATATAAATGTCTTAAGCTGTCCAACCGAGACCAGCAAGAGAACAGAACCGGTGAGGCCCGAATCATTTAAGTCCTCTTGAGGCCAAATTGATTACCTGTAGGAGAGCATCCCAGGTGTAATAATGTTGTAAGTCGGTGGATGAGAGCAGATTACTGTTGTTATTCTTGTTAAAGGTAATGGTAGTGTTGCGTTAGAGTTTCGTCTTACAGCATTTAGAGTGGAAGCTGTAGCTGTAGAGAACTTATGTTACAACAAAAGACAGAAAATATGTGTTGGTAATAACCCACTCAGTGCATTTTCTCTTCTTTTTCTATTTCCTTTCAAGGTACGTTCTGTGGGCATATGTGGGATGGCTCTTTATGCTGGGATGAGACTCCAGCTGGGACGTCAGTAACACAAAACTGTCCAGATCACCTTGACCCGACTGGTAAGAAGAGATGTTCACTTCTGGCAACATTAGAAAACAAGACTCTTGAACTTTGGTTTTAATGTCAGCAGGAAACAGAGGAAACGATCAAATCTTCTGTGTGATGGAGGTCATGGGGCTGATTGTATGAACAGAGCTCCAATGGCCAGCATGGGGCTTGAAGACTCTTGGACGATTCAATTTTGTATGTGTGCCGGTCAACAGAAAGTTTTTAGGCTGAGCCCTGAATTTTAAGCTTTTGTTCGTCAGCTGTGAGCCTGCAAGCTGACTGGGAATGTCCAATGAATGCCCTCTCCAAGCAGAAGCTGTCTTACTTCTAAGAATCTTTATATTATTTCTGCTTCCTTTCTACCAAATCTAACCGCATTATAATGTCAGTGTCCCTGACTAAAGTGCATAAAGTAATTGCAATTTCCGCATCATGTCCTCAGCAGATATGATTTATGTTAGACAGTATAGATTTTAAAAGGAAGGTTTTTTTAAAAATAAATCCTTATAAAAGTATTAACTATCCAAATTAATTGATTCACTCAGATAACACATGGCAATACAAACAACACTTTCAGTAGGCTACATCTCTCAATAACTGATTCATTCAAATTTCTTGCCAACTGTTCGATTTTACAAGATTGCAATTGAACACAACATCATACCTTAAAATGTGCCCAATCCTAATTGTTTGAGCTTGAACGCATCATAGTCTAACTCAATGTTGTTAGCTTTTAGCATAAACTAGCTCCGATGTTGCTCCGAATTTCCGACAGTGATTTATTTGTCAAGACTAAAGTCTCCCGTTTTTTTTAGTCTTGACAAATAAATCACTGTGGCTCTGTATTCTTCAATGCAGGAAGACTAAACAATGGGTGCAGAGGAAAGGTTGTATACTATATTTATGAACTGGATGCAAGGTAATTCATTAGTCCATTGTGTTCTATCAATCAGAATAAATTGAAACAGATTTATTCATATTGAAATTGACTGTGGGACTGCAGGATGAACATTTGTTGCATTGTGAGGAATGCATGGCCCAATAATGTCTAGTTTGAGAAATCCACAGTGCAGTCATGTCTGATTTAGGAGATGCAATATAATGGAGGGGAGGGGGGTGAGGAAAAGGACAAAGAGGACTGAAGGGTACATGGAGAGAAACTTAAAAAAAAAAAGAAAAGGATTACAAAAAAAGTAAGAGTCAGAGAGATAGATGGGGAGAGATAATGTGAATGAGAAGTGTTTTTGTAGGCTCATAAAGGATCTTCCCAAAATGCCTGTGACGTTAAGTGTCCCCTTGTGGCTGCTTATTTGAAAACTGATGGTGCTGATATGAGGCTTCTGGGAGAGACGTACAGTTGGAAGAGGATGCTGAACAGTTGATGAGCTGTCGGAGATGACTAGGCTGAGGCTGCTGTTGTCAGGACGATGTGATCTCATTCAGACCTATACTACATGTGGTTTCAAGCCGGAGCCGAGACTTGAGAATTTGACAGAAAAAGAGGGAATTTTTTCTGTTTGACATAACGTTTGATGATGGGTGCCATGTTACATTAATCACATTCAGCGTCCAATTTATGTGTTGGATTGATGCTGGAGAAAAAGACAGAACAAAGAAAATAAGAGGTTCTCTGCTGGACATGAACATCAAACAGAAGCAATCATTTGCTTTTTAATAAGGTAAAGCTTTTAGGTGAATCATCAATGGAGTGTTCAATTGTGAAGTCATTGCATGTTATTCTTTTTTTACAGAAAAAGTGACCAAATATTGTGCCGAATTTGGTAACTGGGTCGAGACTGCGTCCAATTGTCAACCAGCTTCAAAGAGCAAATTGGAGGTATTTTGCTCTTCGCTTTAAGTAATATAAGAATGAGATGGTGCTATCTTTAGCTGCTCTGTGCTCTCATTATCACACTGAACTATCTTCATATTTCTTAGAGGAAAGTTCCCCATTTCTTATTGGATGCGCCTGGAGAGCCGACCACAGAGTCCACAGCGCTTAATGCAGAAAAAGGCAGTGTTGTGGAAAAAATGATCCTTGAGAATGAAAAGAAATGCTCAGAGAAAATGAAGCAAGATCCGCCTTATAACAAATCAGGTAGCTATTAAGTGTAACTCTAATTTCACGCTGGACAAACTTATGAACAAATGGCCTGTAACGTTTTTTGCTGGTTTTTCAGGCCTGCACTGCAGTCGTAACTGGGATGGCTGGCTGTGTTGGGAGGACGCTGCAGCAGGAACCCACGCTTCACAAAACTGCCCCAATTATTTTGGTGACTTTGACCCCACAGGTGGGCGGAGAGACTTTGCTGCTCTGTTGCTATCTTGTTACCCTGGCAAGACAAATTCACATTTAATTATATGTTGACAGTAATTCAAGAAATTAGATTTAATCACGTAATTGTGTTTTCCAGAAAAGGTAACAAAGTTCTGTGCCGAGGACGGTCGGTGGTTCCACCATCCTGAGTCCAGCATGACCAACTATACACTCTGTACCACCAACCACGAAAAGAGACTGAGGGTAAAGTATTGTTGACAAAATAAACTTTCTGTTGTGTATTTATTGTTCAAATTATGCATAAAACCTCAATGCTGCTTGTTCTTTCTGCAAATTCAGGGCATGTAGTCTTTTCTGCAATTACAGAATAATGGAATATAACAATTTGGCACGACAATCGTATGAGTGGCCTCCAAAGATGTAGTAAACAGGATGAGCACAGTGTTCTCCTGTAACAAAGGGCCACAGTTTTGAAGTGTTATGACAACATAATGCTACTTGTGCTATTGCTCCTCCTCAAAATAAATATAGGTAGCACTCCACTTCTGAAATGTTTTCTTATAATTATAGAACTGTCTTGTCTTGCTTTACCTACTGAGATTGAATTTGATAGCAGTAAAGATCTCTCTCTGCGTTCTTTGAAACATTATTGCAGTTTCATTTCAAGTCTGACCCAGACCTTAGACTAAAAACGAGTATTTCTCATCAGGAATCAAATCTCCCTTTCTCAAATTGTCATATTATGCAATGTTGTAAAAAAATGTTGTTATTGTTTACAGAAACTGAAGATGCTTGAGTACGAATACAAATGCCTCCGGAAAATAAATCGAGACCCACCTTATGACAAGTCAGGTACTAAAACTGTCCAATGAGTCTCACTGTTATTTGGTTGTAAATCCATGTGATATTACCGTGATGAGAATTTTGGGAAAAAGCAGCCAGGAAACATTTTTCATTACGGTTTTGTGTTTTCTCTGTCGATGCTTCAGGTTCGCACTGCAGTCGTAACTGGGACGGCTGGCTGTGTTGGGACGACACTCCAGCGGGAACATACGCCTCTCAGAACTGCCCCGATTACCTGTTTGACTTTGACCACACAGGTGAGCAGTATGTCTAAATAATTCATCCCTTTTTCTACCACATTGTCCTGTTCTTTGTTAAGAAGATCGACTGTAAACCGTTCATTTGTCCACTAGAGTTCAAATTAAGGATTTCTGATTCTGAAATTGCTTTGATGATTATAAAGTAAATCTAATGGGACTAACGTTTATGGCTACTCAGATTCATAGAAAAGTGGAAATGTATAGAAATGTTTAACATTAGTATATTTATCACGTTATTTTCCTTCTTAGAAAAGGCTAGTAAGTACTGTGGAGAAGACGGCCTGTGGTTTCATCATCCAGAGAGCAATAAGACTTGGACAAATGATACTCTCTGTGCTGTCAACACTAAGGATCGGTTGAAGGTAATGTATCCTGATTTACTGTAATAACTACTCAATGCTTCCAATACATACCGTACAGATTCTTCAAAGAGATTCTCAGTAATTCAGTTTATACTTCTGTGGTTTTTCTGCATTTCATAGCCTGAAAGGAAGATGACTGAGAGTCTAAAAATAAATAATTCCATTTATTGTGTCTCTCTTAGTGGAACTCCATATGATTTCACTTCATCAATAAATTAGAGATTGAAAAGAAACAAAATAGTAAATCATGTTTTGCTCGGCTGTAAGGGTGTTAGAAAATATGAATGTAGTTCTGCGTTGGTTATGTGATTCTGTATTGATCGTCAGAGTTTGCGGGCATATTTCTTTCTTTCTTCTCAAAAGAGAAACAGGATAAGCATATTTTTGCAATTAAATGCAACTTTTCTTTAATTGTCTGTCATGTTTTCTTTCCCATAGCCACTGTTTGGTCCTGATTGATATTGACTTTGTGTTTGTGTGTCTGTCTAAAAGGCAGCCGCACAACTCTCAGGGGAAACTGAGGTACTGACTGCTGAAGAGGCCACAGTCGGCCCCATGGTTAACCCAGAGGAACAGGAAGTTGTGAGAAAGAAGATCCTCGACAGCCAGTACAACTGCATCGAGAGAATGCGTCGAGATGCACCTTATAACAAATCAGGTAGAGATATGATCTACTGGGACTCATCAGGCCATCTGTAACCTCTGTGGTCGTCTCACTCTCTTTGTTGCTGTCACAGCTCAGCACTGCAGTCGTAACTGGGACGGCTGGCTGTGCTGGGGCGACAGTCCAGTGGCAACATACGCCTCGCAGAACTGCCCCAATTATTTCGTGGACTTTGACCCGACAGGTGAGCCGCACGACTCCAGAGACGCTGATTTAAAGGTCCTCTGATGCAGGAGGGATTCACCTCTGACACTGTTGACTGTTTTTCAAGAAGTACTAAATATGAATTGCTAAGACGATGAATTATTCACCAAGGCTGACAGAACCTGAATATATGGACACTGTGAAGACATTTGGAGAATATGCATTAATTCCTTAATTGTAACTTACAGAAAAGGCCACTAAATACTGTGGGGAGGACGGGCAGTGGTTCCGCCACCCGGATACCAACAGGACTTGGTCCAACTACACACTCTGCAACGAAAACACCAACGCAAAGTTGAAGGTAATATATCTAAGATGCTATCATAGATGGTGATGACAGTGTGATGGGTCAGCATACTCTTTCCTTTACTTTTGCATGGAGTCGTCTGGTATTTGGAGCGTGGGCAGATGATATATAGTCTGACGTAGTTGCCCATAAATATTGCTGCAGAGACCAATATTAACAGGCTTTCTATTTCCAAAAGACATTACTCTCCTGTACTAAGCTCCACAGAAATATTTAGAGATGACAAGTTACATGCAGGCCCTCCGTCCTTCAGGCTTTATAGTCATAAAACAGAGGATTCTAACTACAAATTAGCATTATTAACAACCCTCTTATCACCAGGCTGCTGTACTAAGCCACTAACAACGTTTCCCACATGGAAACCAGATCAGGAAACCACACAGCGTACGCCAGTGTTGTGCTGGAAGAGACATCATCAACTTTATGTGTTACTACCCACATGCCTTTTGATCAACACTGCAATTCATTTTACAGAATACTTTTACAATTTAGTCTGCTATATCTTATGGCAGGTGATTACAGAACATGATCAAACCATACTGTTGTAGGAGGTTAGTTTAATGTGTTTGTTAAAAGCTATTTTAATTGATAAAATTATTATACTTTTACTGACTTTACAAACAATTAAAATACATGTATTAATGTTTAATGTGTATTATAAATGCTGTAATTCCTGTTACATTTACAGTTAAGACACATTTCTATCAATTGTGCACAAATACCCACTATTCATAATATAAGATAGATCATTACAATTATTAATTAAAATCAGATTTAATAATCAGTGAAGGTGATTTGGTGTTACCATATTTTTTGATATTTTGATATAATGTAAAGTATTTCTCTACAAGTTTGAATGGAAAAAGCACACTGTGCCAAATTTCACTTTTGCAAGTTTACATTTTCCTTTTTGGAAACGTTTCCATATTTTAGTCTGTTGATTTGGCATCTTATTGACAACAAGTTTGCCAACTCCGCCAAAACTCCGCCCTGCTATCCCATCTGCAAAAGAGAAAACGATTGCAAAAAACAACAACAAAAAACAAAAGAACTGCAGGAAACCGTGTCTCCATCCAGGCAGTGGACTTTGCAGCTGTCCTGGCAAACCTGGGAGAAAGACTCAAAGTCTGCTGATCGATCAGAAACACAGATCAGCCGCTCCATCTGTTGCCACAGAAACCCGAGCTTTGCTGCCTCAGCCTCGCAGCTTTAGGAAACCTCTTAAACAAACAGCCTCAGCACTAAAACCCCAAAGAAAAATAAGGCAAAAATAAACCGTGCACGATTTTCTGATAAGACTGAGTCGATGCCAACTTAAACTCTTAATTCCTTTTTTCACGAGCAAGGGCCACACCATGAACTGAGATGTGAGCACAGCGTTATAGTTGAATTCCTTGCAGCACTCTTAACACTTTTCTCTGAAGAACAAAACAAAGATGTCGATTTTTGTGTAAAAATGCACATTATTTATGCTTTTTTATTTGATTTGGGTCTTCCATAAGCACAAAAGAAAACACCATGTGACACTTCAAAAACTTCATATTTCTTCTGCAAATCTTATTTTTCTCCAATAGAAATGCTTCAAAGTTTCTCTAACTTGTCTTTTCTCTTATTTTACAGTCAGCGTACATCCTGTTCTACATGGCAATTGTGGGTCACGCTCTCTCCATAGCCTCCCTGCTCATCTCTCTGTCCATCTTCTTCTACTTCAGGTAATCAGTTCAATTATTATTCAGCTGTAATTTCTGGTCTGATGATGCATATCTTGATGTGAATTCAGGATGGTTGTGCTGAGATTGAAAGCTGATTACATTACATGTTACCATTTGTTTTCATCATTGGCTGATTAATAGATGGTGGCTTTGCTCTTAAAGGTTGAGTCATCACAGTCACTATAATCAAAGGACCAGACAGACACACAGATGGTGTTCAGATTTTAAGACCAGTCTCATCCAACCATTTCATTACTCACCATGGTCAGTCGTTTAGTCTCAATCTTATTTGCAGTCAGTGAAATCTCCTTTTATGCTTTTGTCCGCAACAGCAGTTTTTTTTTTGTAAAACTTGCCCAAGAGCCACAAAGAAGATCTGTCAGTGTTAATGAGTTTTGATTCCACATTTTGTCATATAATCAAAAGGGCTGATTGTTTATTCCCTCGTTGAGATGCTCTGGGGCAAGTAACATCTAAAAGATTGTAAGATCTAAAACTGTTAAAAATAAATTAGTGCAGTGTTAAATTAAAACTGAAGACTAATTAGAAAATTATTACTTTCTCAGCTGCTGCCAATGCAAACTATTGACCTGAAAATACTCCTACTGCTTCACTGAGTGTAATTTATACGCAATTTAAGGGGTGCTAATTTCATGCCAACTTGGTTTCCTTGTGCTGCACATTTATTTCATGGATATTTAGGATTTAAAACTGGAGAGCTGTGAAGTCCGTTGAATGTGTCGGCGGTGTGATTTTATTACAAACATGTGCACCTGAGTGCATTGCTCATTAGGGTTGTTCATCCCGATGAACTGCTTAATCCCAGAGCGGGAAAAGTGCACAATTAAAGGAGATACTGCAATTGAAATTCACTTAAGGAAGAGTTCAAAGCGCGTATAGCAAAGGAAGGTATTATATTTAGTTAATGTATGTGAATATTCATTTGTAGGTGATGAAGCCTGAGGAAAGAGTTAGCAGACATCGTTAAAACTTTATAATTTATCTTTAGGAAGGAATGAGCTTAATAAGCATGTGTAATGATGCAGAAAGGTTCATAGCTACGGATAACTGTGAAGAAACCTGAATACGCAGAAAATTAGTTTTATGTTCTGTAACAATATTTGGAAACGTTTCTTCGTTGGCCCTGTTGTTCATGAATTCTGCAATTGTAAAGGGAGCTGTTATCCAGAACCGATCTTGTAAGAGACCCTCAGTGTGCTACAGTTTAATACACACTCGTAAATCTAGCGGCCATGTTTAGGGCAGGTGCATTGTTGCAAAACCGCATGACCCTCTAAGAGTCAAACTCTTAACTCAGCTACACAAAAATACGACGGGACATTCACAACTCATCAAGATCTAAGTGCCGACCAATTAATAACTCAACGGAGTAACAGAGATGTTGGCTTTGAAATTACTTTATCTTTAACCAAGTCTCACACTATTTATAGCCAAAACACTTTAAATATTGGAGGCTTAATGTTGTATTAGACCCAGATGTGAAGCTTACAGTGGTATGCAATAGTGTACAGCTGCACTACGCTGTTATTTACAACTTTACATCAACACTGTCTGGATTCCCAGATAAAAATATTCAAGCTTGCTGGGGAAAAACCTACGTGGTTAAACAGCCATCCCCGAAGATGTTGATCTGTGACGGTGCAAAAAAGCGCTGCCATTAGAATTCAGCCCGTGTTTTGACATCTCTTTCTAGATAAAAACCACTTGTATACAAGCATTCAAAAGCTTCTGCATTTCTTTTTATGCCTGTAGCCACAGTTAGACTGTTTTTTGTGTCGGAGATAGCAGCTGCCTCTGCAGACTGAGACGGTGAAAATGTGTTTTTGTGTATTCGGTTTGATCCTGGCTTGAGAGAATGCGCTGCTCTTCTTGTTTTTCACGAGTCTCTGGGGTTTTTATGGCTCAACAAAGATAAAATTCTCCATTGCCAATAAAAGGATATGACTTCTTAAACTGTGGAGGACATTTTTATAGGAGGCTATATTCTACAAAAATATATTTGGTGTATGGTTTCATTCAGCTTTAAACACCCTCTGACCTGCAGTTCATTTAATGGCCTTAAATAAACCATTACACACAATAAACCTACTGGATAGAAATTAATTGTAATGATTTTCATTAGAATAGATATTTCACTTTGCCTTTCAAGCATTTCATTATGTGGCCAGCAAAGGTAATGAGGACTACCCTCGGGATCCATTATACATTATTTAACTGTGTTTATAGCTTGTACAGTACAGAGCATTTAGAGGCAATCCAATTCATTATAATCAGGGATTTATGATACCAACCACAAAGACTTCTGAAATGAAAGATCCCAATTATATAACAGACTGTAGCAACATATTAAAACCTCATTAAATCATTAGGCTATTAGCCTGCTGATCACTTTTCCTCCTGGTTACGGTAACATTTGTAGCAAGTGTTTTGTCAGTGTCAGAAAGGATTGTTTTCCATATTTGAAAATGCTATTTCTTAAGATTACCTCATCATTTAATGGTATGTTAGGCTTCAAAATAAATTGTTTCTTTTCACACAGGAGCCTGAGCTGCCAAAGGATCACCCTGCATAAGAACCTCTTCTGCTCCTATGTGTTCAATTCAGCCCTCACCATCATCTCCCTCGTAGCTGTGGTCAATAATCCTGAAGTTGTTGCCAGAAACCCGGTGAGTAGCCTCTTTCACCACCAGGACAACCACTAATCTTACTTTAAGAACTTCGATATATCCAAAGTGGGGTTGGAACTCTTATTATACATCCATGGTTGGAAACTAACACAATGTATCTGTCAGACTAGCTACATGCTAACATGTTTACAACATCAATGCTAACAGGTTTGTTTACTGTGCAGGCCACACCACCTTAGTTTAGCATGTTGCTATGCTAAAATGTGTTAGTTTTAACAAAAGCCAAATAAAGTTGGACCTTATCTCATCAAAGGGAATCTCACTAGTTTAACAGTTATTTAATACATTATTTGTTTAAAGGTCCCATGTCATGACCATTTCTACTGATCATATTATTAATTCTATTGTTGAGGTCTGCTAGAATAGATTTATATTGTGCAATTTTCCAAACTCACATTGGTTTCTCATACAGCATCTCTGTATAGTATGTGTATTCACTCTGTCCTAAACGGCTTTTTGGAGCACCTACAGTGTAAGCGCGCCACAGTTTCGCC